ACAATACATTGAACCAATCAAAACTCGAAGTAATTACATGTGGCTGACGCAAAGCGCGGGAAAATGCATGCGAGCGCGTCACAATTGGCTTTGGTTTTACTTCTGATTGGATGAAAAGGTGGCGCGAATCTTTTAAGCCAATCGCATCGTGTAGAAAGTGCAAAACCAATTACTTTTCGACACTCAAATGAAAACCGCTCTAATGATTGAAAGAACATTTGCCATATTCCCACTGAACCACCCACCTGTACTGACCCAGCAACTCTTTGCGCGAAAAAGATAATCTTCAATTGCCTTCTGCCTGATCGACGGGTCATGAACAACACGATCACTTGCTCTCTGCCCGACTTGATTCGCTATTCCTTTTTACAAGAGTTCTCAAAAAATATCTTCTTTTTTATCTGTGTACTTGACGTCCTTGTGTTCTTGGCTGCTTCAATTGGAAATACGCTCACCTTGGTGGCACTACGAAGAAGCCAATCAATACATCCTCCTTCCAAAGCTCTCTTCTGCAGTTTGGCATTGTCAGATCTTTGTGTTGGTTTAGTCGTTGTTCCTTTACACTTTGGCTTGATGTTGGCAACCATAGTCGAAGTTCCATCTTTATATTGTGCGCTGGTATCACCCACGACTGTGATCGCTTTTGTTATGGCGTCGGTTTCCCTCATGACCACTACCGCAATTGCTGTGGACAGATATCTCGCTTTTTTCCTTAAGCTTAGATACAAAGACCTCGTACGTGTTAATCGAGTTGTTTTGGTACTCGCTTTGGAGTGGCTTATAGGAATCTTATGGGCAGGATTGTGGGTCCATAGCAGAAGTGCAAGTCACACGGTAGGAGCTCTTGCAAACTGCCTGTGTACCATGACAAATTTCGTCTGTTACTTGAAGATCTTCTTTGGCTTAAAACAGCGCCGAACATTTCCAATTCCAGTTCAAAGCCAATTTGAATCAAATCAGATAATGTACTTTAATATCCTTATCTACAAAAAGTCCGCCAAGAGTATGTTTATAATTTACAGCATCATGTTATTTTGCTATGTTCCATATTCTTTGGCACTGGCGTTGCAGTTTGCGTACGGTGTTAATAGCTCTACCTTCTTTATTCTTTCAATTTCATATACCATTATACTGGTAAACTCTTCGCTAAATCCTTTTGTTTATTTTTGGCGAATAAGAGAAATAAGGGGGCAAGTGCTGGAAATGTTTAAGAAACTCAAGTTGTATGGACACATTAACTCTTAAACCATATGAGTTACCAAGAGAGTATGACTTTTCTTGTCAGCAGGAACGGATAGCTCTATTTCAAAAAGACTAATTAAAAATCCTCGTAATCAAGGAAATAGTGAATGATGAAAAACTGATGAATGATTAAAAATCTCTGATAGGCTCGGTATGAGCTTTAGGCCGCTTGCTGTGGACGTAACTCAAATAACAATTTGAGGAAACTGTTCGTTATTAGAACTCGGTAATAATGGCAAAATCTCTTCTACAGAAAAAAATCTTTTATTAAAGAATTGTAATATAGGTAATATAACCAGTCAAGCAAACAACATAGACATATCGTGATATAAATAAAATTTTTATCCCTTCAATGTAGGCTCCAATACCCCGGTTATTCATCTCATAACGAACTGGCGCTTACCGAACTGGGGAAGATGTAGGCAACCAACCAATTCGATGGGTTGCTTGCCAATATAAAATAGCAACCCTTTTATCCAGTAGAACTTGACACTACAGTCCTGGAAAGGTGGGTGTCATTACAGGAGTTCCTCGTGTCCACTTGCTTACCAACTAAGTACTAAGTTTAACTAAATCTTTTATTTCTTATAAAGTGCTTTACAGTGGCTGGCTGGTCTCGTTTGTTTAATTGCTTGTTTTCGCTCTTTGCCTCGCTCTATTTTTGTTGGTGTGCCCCAGGGATCGATCGTCAGACCTTTTTTATTTGTCCTTCATGTGAACCAATTACCCATCGTTGCTCGTAAGTGTAGTACGCTAATAAATATAGTTTACGTCACTGAGAAAATGCCGTGTACGGGGTTATATTCACGAGTTGTTTGTGTCAAAATTCGAACAAACGAGGTACGAGGTACGATTAAAAAGATCAAATACTTCGTCCGGCCCGGGCGCATTCTCCCCCGGGAAGTTTTTTGATTGGACCGAGTCTATCTTTTGGTCAGGGGTCTAGGGTTCCATGTCGAAGGCGAGGGTTCCTGGTCGAGGGTACGGCAGTTTTTTTCCCAACTTTTATTTAATGGAAAAAAATTAAGAACGAAAATGTAAAGTAAAATATAGAAAGAATAGAAAAAATAATAGGATTTTAATGAATCGTACTTCTGGTAGATGTTAGAGGGTGAGGTGAGTTGAGATGGTAGAGAGGTTAAGCAACAACGGGGCGACAGCTACGAAAACGGCACTTAAAAAGTGAAGTCGCCCTGCACGCTTATTCCGTCTCGTTTACTTCGTCAAATGTTGGCAAATTTCTTTGGAGTTGAATTCTAAAGGATGGTATCAAAATTCAAGAAACGAAAAGAAAATTGTTGTTTTGTGTTCCCGTCCTAGACAAAACGTGAAATTAGGCACTTTCACGCTGTAGTCGTGCAACGACAGGTAAGAACTGTGTAAAAAAGCGTGATGCACGTGCAAAGTTGTTGTTTTGCCAATCCAAACCTATTGCTTTTTGCCGTTCTCGTTGTCGTCGCCGTCTACATTGCTTAAGCTCACTAGTAAAATAGCACACTCGACGTCCCCTCAAAACAAGCCAATTACATTTAGAACCCACACGAGCCCATATTTGATTATATAATGTGCTTACCGTATCACTGTATTACCACAAAACTAAAAGCACCGACAAAAGCGAAATCTCATACCACTTAGACTCCATAAACGGTTTCAAAACCTCGTCCAAGGTTTAGTCAAGTTTTTCTAATTCTAAAGCTTGGAAATTTTTTTTCAACAAAACGTAAAAAATCATGCTCATGTTTCCTTACACGGTAACAAGTTATTACTCTTGGGAATGAGTTTAACAACATCCATGAAAGACTTAAAATCATCGACGCGGAACAAGTGATCCTGGTAAGGGGAACTGCAGATCCCCCTCATCTCTTGAATGGCGGCGCAAGTATATTTTCCTACGGCTAGAACAAACACCTCGACTCCCGCGGCCTTCAGTAAATCTGCTTGGGGTATTGTTTGAGTCTTGTTGATGTTCGATTGACCATCCGTCATCACTAATGCTGAGCGTCCGCCCCCTGGAGTGAGACCCGAATTGGGATTTTCGAACAGCTCTGTTCTAGCCAATCGCAAGGCAGCTTGAGTGTTGCTTGCGCCGCCGGTGTAAGGCACGTTCAACAGCTTCTGCCTGGCTTGGCATCCTAAGACGAACGGGAATAGAACGCTAGCAGTGGTAGAAAACTTGATAGCGGCATAATCAGATCTATCTCCTTTTCTGTCGATCATCATTCGTAAAGCTGTGATTCCTTGTTGGAAACTTTTGTTGCCTATTGAACCAGAGTCGTCTATGATGTAGACCACGTTGTACACATACGTATCCTGGGAGCTTGGAGGTCCACGAATTCCACTCGTTCTGCCAAGGAAATGCTTGGCTATATTGTTTGCTGTTTCATTTTTTGGAGGGATTGTCTTTATCACTGAAATTGAAGTTGAAAACATCAGTGAGATCAGTACTGTAACTGTTTAAACCTCGGGAGTACAAGCGTTGTGACACTTCCATCATTGTTCAAGTTATATAGATATAAACATATGTAATCAGGGACCGTGGCTAGGATATTTCTAGAGGTACGCAACGTTTTCCAAGCCCAATCCACCCAGTCTCCCAATTTGTTTCCATATGCGGGTGCTTTAAATACATTTGCGTTTTTCCTCGGTATGGTGTGCGGGTGCCATCGCTCGCAGGACCATATTCTGCGGCAGGTAACTGTTGCAACCCTCATACGATATTGAGTGATAACAACTGAAAGCTACTGAAGGGGGGAGGAGGGATACTATTCGACAGCTGTCAAAGCTAATTTGCATACGATGTTGTGCTTTTTCTTCGATATTTTTTCAGGTATGCTTGTGCGTACTAGCTCTGACATGTAGCTACTCGCTTCAATTCCAGAAACTATAAGGGGAATGAGTACAAGCTTTAGGGGCAAAGATTTCTGAGACTGGTTTGGGTAGACAAGCGTTATTACTTATGATTGGTTAAAGTAACTCTACAGATCAGCTTCTGCATGCATCACCTCGAATAGCATTTCTTTGCTAATTTGCAGGGCAACTGTATTTCGGTTTAAACTGTGTGAATAAAAGTTTTGTTTGTATGGTTGCCTTCAATACCATCGACCAATCATAGTTAAGGCTTGTCCACCCAAACGATCCCAGAAATCCCTGCTTCCAAACCTTGTTCCCATTCTCCCTAGAGTTTCTGAAGTGTGCAATAACAAATTAGTATTGTGCTCGACAGTGATGGGTAGTGGAGAGGCTTTCGCACATATTATGCTCGCATATTTTTCCTAACGCTTTAGTAAGTCAAAAAAGCATTATTATATATTCCAGCATTTTACTGGAATTTTCGTGGAAAATTGTCAGTTTTCTTTTTCGGAGAAAATGAGAATTGAAAACAAAAAAAAACTAAGAGAAAAGGAACACTTTAAGTCAAAATTCCGAAAAGAAAACAATCAAATGCCACCCTAATACATTTTTTAGCGTTGGAATTAATAAGAAAGCGTCCGTATGATGCGTATTTGAGTAAAAGGGCTTGAAATGACGTATATGACGTCGTACCTCGTAACCATAGCGATCGATGGTTAATATCACCATCTTTTCATGTTTGTATAATTTCTGATGATTTCCTTTCTATTCTTTAAAAATCAAATCAGGAACAACATTAACAAAGGACTTTTCCTTTGTATTATAAAATAGTGTAACTGCAGCGTGAAATTCTGTAATGGTGATGTTACACTGGACGATTCGCAACGACGATTTTTAGATCTTTTTAGCGTAACACAGCTAGCTAGCGTTGCAAAGTTGGAGCAATGTTGTACCTATTCGAAACAATGTCGCAACAATGTTGCAACGCTGTGTTGCGCTAAAAATAGTCGTTGCTAATCCTCTCGTGTAACATCATCTTAAGATATTCTCCATGCAGAAAACTCGAAGTAACCCGAATTTATAGTTCTGGGTTGCCTGCAACAGCTCACCATATTTCTTGACTCGAGAGAGGATAAGAGAAGTGCGTAAAAATTTACTGAGCAAAACATTAAGTAATGAGTAAGTATGATAAGAAAATAATAGACAAATAAATAAATAAGATAAATGAGTAAATAAAATTATTTATAATTTGAAGACGTCTTACCATCATAAGAGGGTGGTTTGATTGGTCCTCCTACCAAATCCTTTGCTATAGAAACGTGAACTAGCAGCCCGCAAAGAGCCGCTATGAGGATCATTCGGTCCATACTTCGTCGTCTTAGTTATAATGGACTCTTCTTGTCACTTATGTTTTACGTTTATTTTTTTGGTTCTCGTTCAGTTATGCTTGGGCGGGTTGTCTCTCCTGCTTTTATAGCACTCTTGAGAGGTAAAGCAACCACAACTGACACGATTTAGTCGCTGAACTTATGACGTCTCTTATGAGAGTCGTTAACGACATTCGTATAAATCAGAGGCGTGTACGATAAAAGGAAAATCCTGTATCCTGTAGTAACACATGCAGGATCACAGCAGACGTGACGAAAGCTATGGACAGTAAGTCGCAGGAGAGATAAATCCTTACTAAACAGTCAGTAAATCAGATAGAAATCACAGACGATATAGCCTACGTGGCAGACCCAAAAATAGAGTAGCTATGCTGGTAGCTTGCGGAAAAGCCGCTATTTTTTGCGCTTTTCAGGCGAGCACGAATCAGACGTGGAACGTGAGACACACCTTCCACCGTCGCTCGCGTTCCGCGCTCCACGTTCACCGCGTGCTCGCCTCGTTCTGCAGGCTAGCACGCAGGCTACGAACGATACAAAGCCGAGAGATGATCAGGAAAATATCTCAACACGACAACAACGACAACGACAACAAAACACTATGGAAATGCAGATAAATGTTCATCAGAAAGCATTACTTTGATCACATTTTTTTCTGAAAGCTAATAGTGGCTTTAAGCACTGCACAAACGGGACGGAAATACGCAGGGCATGTAATCGGCCACTTCATATTCAACGTCTAGATCCGCGGGGGCGGGGGGGGGGAGGTACTTGGGATAATTTTTGCTGGGTAAGTGCCGCTGACCTCTTAGACTGCCCCTATATCATTTTCATCATTTTTTATCATTTTTTTTGTGGCCATATAATTTTCGCAATTCCAACTGAGTCAATTTCTGTTTATGCATTTACCTTATCACGCCTTTTAACTTGGTCATCCTGAAATGAACTGACACTTTTAAATTTGTTACTGCGCTTTTCACAAACATGCGAATTCTGAAGTTCAAAAGCCAACTGACGATTGCGTTTTTCGCTGCCGTAAATCATCTTAACGGACCTCTTAGGAGACAAAACTTTACTTAAACGGGTTCAAAAGGTCAAGGTTTGTGATTTGTGATTGGTGGATTTCGATCCGTTTTGTGTGTTTCTGCGTTTCAAGGTTCGTTGCTTGTGATCGTAATTATGACTGACGGCAGCGAAAAATGCAATTGCTGCAATTGTGAAGGCGGCTTTTGAACTTTAGAGTTCGCATGTTTGTGGAAAACGCAGTAAACTTAATGTGGTGTAAATCTTTCCATTTTATTTCCCTACATACCTGAATTTTCTGACCCCCAAAATCCTGAAAATTTGCGATCCCATTCTAGTAACTCTTATAAAAGTGCAACCCCATAAAAGTCAAACGTCGTGAAAATGCGACCCCATCCAGCGGCACATACCCATGAGCCTACTACTAGGAAGTCCGCCCCCCCCCCCCCCCCCCGGGCTCTCACTTTAAAAAAAAAGAAGAATGCATTAACCACTTTTTTCTCACCAAAAAGAATCCATTACCAAGAAGTATATTGCAGGTATATGTCTTTAGCACCGCAATATAATTGTGACAATTTATAAGTCTATAATCAGACTATTAAAAATCCCCCCCCCCCCCCCCCCTCCCGGGCGTCTAGATTTTGAAAAGTAAAAGAACGCTCAAACATTTGTCGTATATCATTAAATTAAGAGTCACGAAAGTTTGTACGAACGTTTCAGTTTTTAGGTTCCATAAGTTATCTTCAATGAGTGCGTGATAGAAGGAACGATATTAAATTATTAAATTATTATTTTATTTATTCATTTATTTTTAATTTGTCACACTGAATTAAAACCATCGACACCTAACGAGGGTATTTCAGTCTTCCTAGCGTGTCATTCGACTATATTTCCAGAAAAGTATGCCGGTCTGTGTGAAAAGAACAAGAAGTTTTTAAAATTTTCTCTGATATGGAGACTAAACAAAAAACGACTTTAAAATTGAATTGAAGCACTTGGAGGAAGACAATTTGATTAGTAACAGCACGTAAAGTCTTTGTTTCAGTTAGTATTTTATGGTTTAAACGGAAATAAATGTTATTGAACCATCACTGTGGTTAGTAAGGTCAAGTGTTTAAAACCAAACTTTGTAGTCGAGGTATTTGTCACGCACGAATGATGTATTGGGCAGACTTAGCAATACAACGCTACCATGGGCGCAGATTTCTACAATTGACCAATGGCTGAGCAGCAAATTGCATGATATGTAAATGGGGGATTAGTCCTCAAAACGCCAGCTTTTGAATCTCCTACGGGAACCTTGCTTTGGTCTGCTTTAGTAACTCAAAAAAGAATTTTTGTGTTCATCCTTCAATTCTCCACCGAACCTCAAGGTAGCCTCGCGGCATCCCTTTATTGGTCCCCTACATTTCGCAGCTCTCTTTGTTTGGGGCTAGATTTTATTGTTAACTTTGTTAGTTCATTGTTTTCCCAACCAATCCCGTGAGCCCTTGTTACAGCCGCGAGACTGACCAGGCCAGCACCTCAGTTCATCTAAAAACTAATAAACAAAACATGGCCCGTGTCTGAAGACTTTTAATTACATTTTACTTTACATGACAGGGTTCCGACTTCATAAGCCATAAAATGAAACCTTGCACTGACACGTTCATTCTTTTAAATATTCTCTGTTTTCACTATCACTCCATCAAAAATAAAAGATGCAAACCATTCAATACAGAAAGTCTAGAATCTGGGAAATGAAAGAAGATAACTATACAAAAAGCTTTGCCAAAATATCAGGTCTGTGCCATATTACATAAACGAAATATTCGGGAACATGTTTCACGCAAGTTTACAAAACCTTGTATGGAGACGCCATCTTGGTATCCCTTTGAGGAGCACAAACGTAGGACAATTTCCTTTCGAGAGACGCTCTCTTACTTCAGGAAATGGCGTCATAACGCAGTTAACTTGAGCACTCGGACAACCCGAGGGGAGTGGTTTAAATTAATAAGTGGTAAAATAGTACTGATAATTTTTTTTCTGAGGCCAAAGTCTAGAAGAAAGTTCAGGTTGAATAATTGAAAGTAAATGCGATTTGTTTCCATTTCGGCCAATATTTTGCTTGAAAACTATGTTTTCAATAAAAGTGAAATAGAATAAATTATAAATCTTCCTCTTTCTTTATATTAAATTTCTCAAGCATTTGTAATAAATATAATACTTTCTTGTTTACTTTCAAGGTAGTCTAAAAATTTTCGTCCCATCCTGATAGGTCATCTGGTGGCACATCCATATCCTTCGGGTAATGATCGAAATTGCTGAAATCCGTGGCGCTTTTTACCTAATAATCGATCAACAACAACAACAAAGTTTCTAAGGACTGAAAGCTATGTAATAGAGACCTTTAGGACAAAGATGACTACGACGACATTCCCAAAAATAGATAATAGACACCCGGGAAAGCTTCTTTAAACTTTTTTTCAAAGGAAAAGTTGGCACTGTTATGATAAAACTTCTACATTTGCCAACTTGTTTCCGCTACTACGACATTTTCACTAAACCTCTCAGAAGAATGACGACGTTATCACGTTTTCCCGCCAAAATGACGCTGGTCCACGCGCGCGCTCTACTTGGTAGTGAGAAAATCTCGTTCTTGTCCTCGTCTTGGAATCTAAATGTCTCTAATAGGCTACCACTAGAACAACGTTCGCCTTTGTTTGTTTGTTTGCTTGAATCTGTGATGGTCCTAGCATGCGTGCGTGGTAGGTATCGAAAGGGAAAAGGAAATGGGGAAAGGCACCTATGCGTATTCGCGAGAAGCATTCTTGTCCCCTCTCGCTCCTGACACGCAGGTTATGATGGCCCTAAAGGGGCGGCTCAATGAAAGGGACGGACTGTCACAGAGAGGGGTCGCTTTTCAGACCGGAGGTACATAAAAGAAATGCTTTTTTTTTTCAAAATTTCTCGAGGTGACGCACCTAACGGCTGGTTAATTGTATTGCAAGTACCGTAAACGTCCGAGGATAGGACCCCCCTTCCCCCGCATTTATAGGCCCATCTACCTGTAAACAAAAAATACACCCAGTTGTAAGCCCCCCTCTAGCCTGTATTGAAATGAATCTGACCTTTTACGATGTTTGAAGCTTAAAAAAATCGATCAAATTCACAAAGTATTTTGATCAGCACTGTTATGTAGCTTGTTTTGAAACACTTGTTTTAGTCTAGTTATAAGCGTCCCCCCCCCCACCCCCGCTACTTTTGTTTGCTTGATATTATTATTATTTTTACATAGATTAATCAGAGAATGCACCTTTCATGTCTAGTTTCAGAAAAAGGCTTTGTTTCCTTGATCGTTCAGGAAAAAGTGCATTGTTTGACAGTCACAGAAAACAAATGGTAATACACGAAAACAACTAAACCAAATACAGCATCTAAAAATAAATCATATTTTTTAGACGATTCTTTAAAAAAAAAAATTATATGACTTATGAACAAAATACCTTAGGCCGTATGGGAGGTTCAAGTGTCCGCTCTAAAAGACCTTGCCAGTGAAAACCTTGAAACCATCTACAAAAAATGAGCAAAATATTAAAAAATAGTAATCAAATAACAATAATAATAATATTATTATTATTATGTTTGACTATGCTCTAAGAAGCCATTTCTGACGGTGTCTGAACGTAAAGGCCTGGGTGGGCTCTTACTTATGTTTCTTGACGTCTGTGAGACCGTCCTTTTGATAACCCAGTCTTTCAGTGGGACTTTCCTTGCAAAGCCTTCTTATAAGGTTCTGAGGATTGCGACCAATCTTTTTTGGAAATTCAACCACATCCATTCCGCGCAAGATAATGTTGTAGGTCTTCATGGGGTCTGCGCCATAGAATGGTGGACTGCGGTGAAGACAGAAAATAAGTAGATATACTTAGAAAAAGTCGGTATTCCGAATCGCTGTTGTGAACGGCACAAGACAATAATCAACACTGAAATAACGTTACTGCAATAATTTGTAAACCCGGGGGATACTCGTGGGAATTCTTGTTGGTGTGTGCCGCTCGGTTCTCCTAGTCCTGATCCTGTATCAGACCAAAACATGTCATTTTGCACACCCGTTTTCAGACCTGGTATCTAACATCCACACCCGTTTTGAGGTTTGGCCTCTACGAAATTATGTTATTACTTAGATTAGAACGCCAACAAAAAGATTAAATACCATCCCGAATTCAGGTATTATTCTTTCTTTCTTATTCATCTGGATTTGAAACTACAAATACGTTCATACACTCCCGTAGTTCTGTCGAAAACCATAGCCGATTCCAGACCAAAATGGGTAAAGTCTATACCCGTTTTCAGACCGTAAAGGCGCAAAAACAAAACCCTTTAAGGGCGGCACATACCTATATGGCTTATATAAGAGAGTACCCCCACCCCCAGGATTGTAACTGCTGTTTGTATAAACTAGTTGACCATAAAAATCACCTTCCAGTTAAAAGTTCAAAAATGAGAATTCCCAGAGACCAGCAATCGGCTGACAAATCATGACCCTGAGAATCAAATGAGCATAAAAAAAAAATAAGTGACCGTAAGCAGTGACAACACCAACAAAAGAATAGATAATATGATGACCTTTTTTTCTTTTTTGAACTCTAACACTCGGTTAATGTTAATTCACGAAATATTTTCACTGCTTTTGCTGTTACTTTGAATAGTTGGAAGCTCAATTCCAAAAATAGGTAGAAAGTTCTGCATCATTGTCTTCGATTAATGGGAACTTTGATGAAAGTAAACAAAATCTGAGTTTAATAAACACAAATAAACACGTCAGATTTTTCCCATCACGAATCTATAGGACTTAGAAAGGGTAAGCACACGCCCTATGTTATTAAGTGTTTCCATCAAGAGCATCATGAACGAGGAAAGCCCAGGATTGAGTTTTGCTACCAAATTTTTGCCACATAGGGGTTATGCATTTATTTACACACTATTTCTTTCAACGAGAGATCAGTTAACTGTTATCAACGGGGAAGCTTAGCTTTATTATCATTATTAAACAAAAAGGTGTCATTGCTTGAAGTAAAGCCAATGTAAACTTCTGTAGAAGCAACCGAACCCTCACAGTCAGTTTTATTTCGAGGATTTGAACTCTGACTGTTGCTATCAGACAAAAATTAAATGCACAAAAAGCGAATGGCAAATGTGATCAACGCTGTTTATCTCAGCTGTAAGGAGTCGAAAGAAAACATGAAAAATTCAGGCCGTTCCTTTTTTCATATCAGTTGCTAGTTCCATAATACTGAGCTCTCAAATGATAGTCCTGTGCCGAATTTATCGTGGCCGCTTAATAAGCGCGCCAAAGAATATTTGTAAAGGGTTTTGCTCGACCTGAAGTAATAGCGGAGCTCGCGCGCGCAGCGGAGCACCATGGGTAAGAAAATTTGGTAAACTATCCATCCCAGAAAATTTGGTTATGACGTAGCGTACGTCCGTCCGTACGGACTTTCCGGGTAGTGGAAAGTAGTCCGCATGGTCTCTTGGGGTAGGGGAAAGTAGAGAGTTTTTGGCGGGAAATCGCATGGCACAACGTCGCGCAATTATATCGCGCAACAACAGTTTCGCGCAACTGGTTTTGAAAAAAAGAAAGCAAGTAGAAGAGCGAGAAGAAGGAGAGAAAATTATAGTGAAAAACGCCGGCAAGCAGAACGAGACAGAGCTAGAATGAACAGACAAAGGCAACGCGAAAGGGAAATACAAAGGCAAAGAGAACGGCAGCAAAATAATGACATGATGACAGAAAGTGTTGTGTTAATGTCACTATGGCCCCGAGCTATTAACATTTTGATTTCAAACTGATCTCGGACTCGAAAATTCAGCCAGTCATTTAAAAATACAAGCAGGGAAGACAGAGGCTTTTCACTTTTCTCACCATAGTCACGCGTTGATCACGCTCTACCACCGTCCAATTTTTATGCTCTGATCGGTCAAAATTTGACAGGTGAGTTCATGCAGAAAATTTATACAGCATCTTGAACCTTGTTTACTTTCAGTTTGACAGCTGAAGCTGACAGAGTATTTTGTCAACTTGTGATGTTTTTTACTGTCTTTTTCCACTGGATGCTTAAAATGAAATACAGCTGCTATCAACAGTCTTTTTTGATTCATGGCTAGTTTGTTTATTGTATTTTTGGTCGGGAAATGCGCCGGTTGGAAATCCGATTTCGGATGCATCGCTTTCGTTTTTACCTTGCTGGATGCGGGTTGAAAAGTCCCTCAAGCGATTCTGGCCTTACTTTATAGCTTTCAAGAGCTGCATCTCGAATGGTAAGCCTAAGTAATTATTGTATACAGTGTATGTTTGTTTTTTTATATCGTATTTCATGAAGTCAAGCGCAGTTTATGGGGCTAATTTACGCACGTTTGTGTTAAGATCTGAGACAATGATCTGATCTAGTATATATAAGCTTACAGAACTTTAAAAAGCCGTTAGTCGATATTTTCTCTCCGCATATAGAACGAAAAAACGGTCCGAAGAGTATTTAGTTAATAATTTTGGCTTTAGAAAGAAAGCTTTGAGCGATTTTCTTGCCTCGAGTTCATCTTTGAAAACAGTAAACACCAGGAAGCCGGCTAAAAGCTTTAAGCTTAAGCTTAAAGACTCAGGATTTTTAGAGACGCTTTAATACTTGTCTTCGTTAATGAAAATTGTTGTCTCTGTAAATGTTTCACCGGATTACATTTCTTTTATTGATTGTTAGTAGTCTCTTACAATTTTAATCGCTTTGCCGTCTGTTTTCAGTCGTTCATAAGCTTTCATAAACAACGCTTGCAGGAGTACTCAAAATGCTGCTCGTATCAAACGCTTTTTAAGATTACACATCGTTATAAAACCTTTTAATAAAAAAAATAAACACAATAAATTCTTTATTCTGTTGAAGCGTAACTCTTTTAATGTTCACTGAAAATTTGGCGCTTGTCAAAAGTGAGAACCGGCTGGCCGTATAGGTGATTTTGGAAATTTTTTGAACGGTTTTGTTAAAAGCCCACGCGTGCTTCGTACGGTTCTGAATATTGAATGAGTGCAATTTGTCTTGACAAATTGTGAAATACTGCATTTTGTCCGAGGTCTATGTGATAAAAACAACGCCTCATATTACTGTTTCAGATGAGATGTATAAAAAGTATGAAATGTTGGTTTACACGCTCCCAGAGTTGTTGGCAAGATTTTGTTAAGTAAACTTGTCGAACGCAAAAAATTCGGCCTGATTTGTTTTCCAAAAATTCGTTTTCCAGGCCTAATCTACTGTGATCAAGAGCCATTATGGCTCTAAAATGTGATCGAAGATGATTGCTATTTTTTGGGTGTATATATACGGCTATCAATTCGATGTAAGATTTTTTTTTCACTCTAGAATCACTTAGCCTTAGCTTTCCCTTAAAGTTTACTGATTTGTGGATTACAAGTTTATTCTTTGATTTAAATTATAAATTTATTAATGGGAGCTTCGCTTTTAGCCCTGGCTAAATCTATATATTATGTAGATTTAGCCAAGGCTAAAGGCGAAGCTCCCGTTAATGAAAAAACATTGCACCGAAGAAATCCAAAAAGAATTGAGCCTGCGATTAGTTGAAAACTAGAAACTTGTCAGCGGTAAACGTTAAAAAAAAAACACGTAACCTCGATGGGTTGACACCTGAGTCCGCGATATAACTGGAAAATTGAAAAGGTAGTCCTGTTATCCCTTTGGAAACCATCCAATGGAAATGCATGTTCCATTTAAGAGTTTTCGTAAGTCGTAAGGAATCACCAGTTCCAGGCTATTCACGACGACATCTGTGCCACCTTCTTGAACTTTGGTGACGAGAGCATAAACGAATAGAACTTATGTCAAATGGAACTCGTTCTTCACTCGATGGACCTTTCGATGTAAGTTTCTCACAGTTTTTGGTAAATGGAAAGCGCCCAGTGTAACATTTCACATCGGTTCCCTGTGGTGCGGACGGACGGACGGACGAACGGACGGGCGGGTGGACGTACGGTAACGTGACTACCAAAATTTTGGGGGGTGGATAGAATACCAAATTTTCTCAGCTATGGCGCTCCGCTCGTGCGCGCCTGGAGCTCCGATGAAATATTCACAAATACCGGCGAGAGGATGCCTGGGAGTCTTCGGTGCTTCTATTCAGCGGCCGCGAAGAATTCGAAACTGGACTATTAAAAGTAATAAACTGCCTACAATGTTTCTCACTCGAAAAAAAATAAGATTATTTAATAGGACAAAGTCACATTCTTATATGAGCGAGAATGGTTATTCTTATCACATATTATAATCTTTACCTTGTTAAGAATAATTTCTGGAGCAACATACTCCGGTGTTCCACAAAATGTCCATGTCTTTCTTCCGAATCCAATTCTTTTGGCGAAACCAAAATCCACCTAAAAATAAAAAAAACGTGTCTGTTTTATCGGATTTTATCACAAAACCACTTTAACATAAAATGATATACTAAAAACCTGATAGTGCAATATAAACAATGTAACTAAAACCGAACGAAATTTAAAGAGGATACAAGAAAGAAATACTTCCATCGTACCAGTTTCACATATCCATCTTTATCCAAAAGTAAATTTTCCGGCTGATAAAAAAAAACAGACATCAATGAGCACTTTAAATCCTTTATCTTCAGGTACATCGTAATAAAATCGAGCCTCTGTTAAGCGTACACGATCGGGACACGAAAATTAAAGTCGGGGCCCACTTATATTAAGAGCATGCTTCCTGCGCAACCAAGGAATTAGTAGCGCGCATTATCAGTTTGAGTAACGCGCAAGTCACGTACGAGTTCTTTATCACACATGGTAGTCTCTTGGAAATCCTAGTTATTTGTTGTGGAAAAGTGAAGCCGCTGGCAACAGTTCACAAATCTGAAGAGGTGTGGGTAGGTTGCTTATTCAGCCGCATGATCGATTTGACCTCTATTTAGTCGACAACAACTGTAAAAACATTTTAGCATCATTAGCATTCCTAAAATCCCTTTAAGGCAAGTGTAATCAGTAAATCAGTTTGAAGGTCATACTAAGACTATATATTATAAAGGAATGTACTTTATCGAGAAACCGTCCAGGCTGTGTTTGTATGAACTGAAGCTAGGATACTGCCAGGGACCGCGGAGGGGGAGGGGCTGGTAGGGCCGCGGCCCCACGTGAAAAAACGCGGGGGCGGGGGTGAAAACCTTTTAGTTTATGATACTAAAAATAAGGAAAAAAGCTAAAAGTTATACTTTTTTAATTTTTCAATCGTCAGCCCTCCCACTTTTCACCTTGTTCCGCGGTCTCTGACTGCAATGCTGATCGTACTGCAAGACATCAACACGGCACCGAAAGAACTCAAAACAGAGCGGGATTGTAGCCATAGACAGCTGTTTCGCCCTTTTTGGGGTTCTTCAGTATGGCGCAACAACCACAGAAAGTTGTGCCATACTGACGAGCCCCAACGATCACGCTCTGTTTTGAGTTCTTTCGGTGTCGTGTTGGTGTCTTGCAGAGTTAATTTTCACGTAGTACGATCAGTATTGCAGTATTCTGCTTGCAGAATTTAATATGTCTACATTATTATTTTTGCTGATCAGGTCTTTATAGATCCTACGTTCTTCGGCATATTCGTTCGCGGTCCTTTGCAGTCCTTTGTGGTTAATGTTTGTAGCTTGGACTTCAGCGCGCGTCTGCGGGAAGTGTCCGTTCGCGATTGGAGTTTGGACTATAACAGTGGCCTCACACAGTCAACCCATATACTCTAAGCAGTATAGATATCATATCTACAGTACGAAGGGTATTTAAATGGCATGATGATATTTGAACATTGCGCTTATACCTTCAGATCGCGATAAACAATTCCTCGTGAATGCAGATACTCAAAAGCTTCCACAACACAGGCCACAAAAAATCGAGCGGTAGAGTCATCGAAAAACCCTCTGTCTCTTAGGATGGTCCAAAGTTCTCCGCCTAGACAAACTTCCAACAACATATAAACGTACTTTCGATCCTTGAAGGTCCGATACAACCTGTAGTTAGAGAATGAATCATTTTGGTTTGACAACTTCAGTTACATCAGGGGAAGCCGCAACATATTATATAGTAATGGTTGCGATATAGCACCAAAGGTTTTGCCCCATGTGGATACGTTTCTGGGAAACTGCCCACCTACCCCTCTCCTAAGCCAGCATTAACGCTTACTTCTCATTTAGGGCAAAATGTTGGCTTAGGGGAGGGGTAGGTGGGCAGTTTCCCAGAAACGTATTATGATCCCATGTAAGGTAATCCGGATTCCGCGATTCAGGAAATTTTGCTCGTGGAATCTAGAATCCTAGGCTTTTGAATCTGGAATTCAGCTTAGGAATCCGGAATCCGGAATCCGGAATCCGGCTAACGTGGATTGGAATCTGGAATCCAAGTACCACTGACAAGGAATCCGGAATCTAGTACCTGTATTCCTGAATTAACAGCGTGGAATCCAGAACCAAGACTGTCTTAGACTATCACACATTACATTGGGCGAAAAGGTTTGCATCTCTGTTTCAGTACATAAAGGGATGGGGTGCTTTCCAAAAGCATGAAGACCAGCGCCGATTTTTTGTCACCTTGCCTACAGCATTCATATCATACTTCATCCTAGAAGACCCAGAGGCAGTCTTTGGGTACGATGAAAGTTTCAAAGCACGGTGCGTTTCTCCTGACGCGACTGACTTCCCCTACCAGGGTCCCCAAGGATGATAATATTTCAGCTCTTCCGGTTCCCAAAATGAAACTGTTTACATTAAAGTATGATTTCCTTGTTGTTCTTTTGAAAATTGATAACAGGGAGCTTAAGCCAAGTAACGACTACGGCGACGGCAACGAAAACGACAAAAAAAGCAATAGGTTTAGATTGCTAAAACAACAACCTTGCACGCGCATCACGCTTTTTTCGGTACATTGAAAACTTCCCAAATGCACCTTTTATAAAGGACGTGAATGCAAGAAAAAGATTTTAATTTTTCTTTTTCTGAACTTAGATACAGTCGTTTAGAATTCAGCTCAAGAAAAATTCGCCAAAATTTGACAAATTAAACGAGATGGAATAAGAGCGAAGAAGTTTGAAGCAGCGCGAATCGTTTTCGCTGCCGTGGCCGTGGTAGATGTTAAAGCTCCCTAATTTAATGGGAGGAATATCGGTTATATCTTACTTGCAGATGAAAGGTGAATTTGCTTGAGACATTATTTTCTTCTCGGAGTAGATATGCTCTTGTTGCCTTGTGTCCAGGATGTGTTTTTTCTTCAAACATTTTAACGCGTACGTTCTTTTGTCTTTTACATTTTGTACCTTGATAGGAATGCAGTAAACGTTATGTTATATAGGTGAGTGGAAAATACTGGGAGTAAACAAAAGAAATTACAGTATAATACTTCGTAGTGCCCTCTCCCTATTTCACGGGTTAAGCACTCCCTACTATCTAGCTTGGTGGATTATTATTCAACCACGCCCAAGGGTCCTCTCGCTTCCCCACCCTCCTGAAAAAATTAAAATGTCTTCTCTTACCAGCTCCACGCGTCCAAATCCTCCCATCCCCAGGGTGGCCACTACTTCCAGTTCGTCAAGAGTCAAGTCCTGGAACTCTTTGGAGATTTTCCTATCCTCGTTATAACTTGAATCAAGCTTAGAAGCCGACAGACATCTGCAGAGGAGATAACATTTTCTTTTTAAAAGTATTTCTCACTAATATACCTTTTACATAGCTGAGAGTAACAAATTATTGCCATTGTACCTCGTGGCTCCTCTTTCCATATCGCCGTAGTCTTTCTTCTTGAGTTCATCAAGGTTGCCGATAAGAGCCTTAAAAGCACTGAGAAATACATTGCAAAACGAGTTATTTCCGTTAGTATCTTGGAGGGGTAGGGAGGGCGGCATTGGTTCAATACAACTTCATGAGAAATAGTTTCGTATTCCTTATTTTAATGCTACCCATTAAAATCGCTCCAACGTAGGGTTAATGCTTAAAAACATCAGCTACGGTAAAAATTAATGTTATTCAACTAACCGCTTAATGTTTGCAAATAGGCAACTGGTTTTATCCTGCCAGTTGAGGTATTTAAACTATGTTTTGCTTCATTAAGATTACTCGTTTTTGACAATCTGAGTTGTGTGCCTCTAAACTAGCTTGAGTGCTACGTGCTCTTTCATTAAAAACAAAGATCCACGTCTTATTTTTACTTCTGCGACAGTCGGTGTACTGATGATTATGAAAAAAAACATATAGGAGGTCATAGGAGTTGCGTACATGAAGAGAGGCCTTAAAAGTCAAAACTTTAACAACCAGTAGGTAGTGGTAGTGGTGGCGGTGGTGGAAATGTAAACGTTTCGGTATTAAACTCACGTTCTTTCGATAACCAAACATTCCACGCCCGGTGTCTCGGCGATCACATTTGCTGTTCTGCGATCTTCACTAAAGAAATAGCAACAAAAATCAGACAAGACTGTGTAAATTGTAAAACAAAAAAACAAAACAGAAACGAAAAAACTATAATAACACTACAACTGTGTTCAGAAAACGATTGGAGTGAAGTGAGACCCAGACGACTGAAATTCCAGTTTTAACCTTTACTGGCACCCGAGGCAATCGCAAGAGAAGTGATCAAAAGAAACAGAGCCGAAAAAATGAGGGATTGATGATAATATGATGAGGATGATGATGATGATCATTAGTGATAAGCATGGTGATGGTGGGTGATGCTAACGTTGATGTTGATTATGATGCTGATGCTAATGATGACGATGATGCTGATTATGACGATGACATCATAACGATGACGATGATGATGATGCTGATGATGATGATGATGACGCTCATGACGGTAAGAAGGGAGGAAGAGGTTGGAGGGTGGTACCTTAAGAGAGCTTTTTCGCCAAAGTAATCTCCTCTCTGGAGTCTTCTGATCTCCCTAGGCTCATCAAATCCCGCCACTCTTTGAGTGACGATCACCTAAGGGGAAAACATGATACACACATGATACAAACAAGCAAAAGACTGCGCCACATACAACATACAACGATGTTGGGAAGTGGGGAGGAGATTCACTTTAATAAAATCCTTAGCCTGCGTAGATGAATGTTATTTTGGTCCTCTTTTTTTCTTTCTTTTGTGGTTCGTAAGAAATACATCTGCGCGAAAGCTGAACCAGAAAATGATGGGGGAGGGTGCGAGGGGAGAAGGCTGTGCTGTGCCCTTAAAAGGGAGATAGAGGAGACTGGGGTCACTTCTACAACAAAATGTAACCCATGCGTTGTTTAAACAAACCGATCCGGTTCTACAGCATTTTCAGGTTGGTCATCCCTAACAGACTTACATTTTTAGCAAAACAGTTAAAAGGGGCTTCTCTATTTTTAATACAACGGTTCTTATTTTATCACAAATTGCCATCATTCCTTCCATAGGAAATCGATTCTTGTCACCGGCAATTTGCTAATATGTGTCTCAAGCCCCTGAAGGCGACAGGTCAACTACCACCTCCATACGAATGCTCCAAGGGTGATTTGCGGTGTCTACAAACAAGGCATTTTTATTGGGGGGAGGGGGAAGGGGGAAGGGGGTTCTGCAAAGGTTTTCTTCGGGATTCACTACACCGGGAACTAATCCCTTTCAAAAAATTACGTGTAAATCAAATCAAAAACAAAAAATTACTATAGCGTCCCACGTGTAGTCACAGGTTCCATTTCTATTTTCTCCCGACAGAAGCATGGTTATAGTATATAACGGTTACACACTTATAGAACATACCGATCCTCTATTGATGATATAGAATGTATCCCCCCTTTCTCCCTCGCGTATAATGAAGTCATCGCCATGGTAATAATCCTAAAATCGCGAATAAAAGGAAACGATCACATACTTAGCAATCAGACTCCAGTCAGCATCAACCTTCTGCTACATACAATTAGGACCAACGGGTACCTTTAGTCTACAAGCACCTGAAAATCTTATTACCTTATTCTCACTTAATTTCGCGATTTTCGCCATTGGAGAAAAATCACGAAATCTAAAAATCCCTAAAAATCGCGAAATTAAATTGTCGCGAAATATGGCTCATGATTTTCGCGAAATTTAATACTCGCGAATTAAGTGAGAATAAGGTTCAACTACACCAGTCAGGCTGAGTAATCGTCAGTTATTACCTCTTCCATAACGTCTGCAAGCTTGGCTAATTCTTGTTCGCATAAGTTTTTTAAAAGAGGAACACTGAAACATGAAGGCAAGATGTAGAATTAGAAGAAATCTTTGCTGTGGAGGAAGGGGCAATGCCGTTTTAATTCATCAAAGGATCTAAATATCAATTGTAAATGCAACGGGGTAGCTAGCAATTATATGAATTACATGAAAGATGATCATGATCGTAGTTATAGATGCAACTTTTTGCAGTTGCGAAAAGGAAGCCTGCAAAAAATTCAAGCTTGTACGGGATTCGAGCCCTTAACCTCTGCGATACCGGTGCAGCGCTCTACCGACAATTAAGCCAACAAGCCAAATGGGAGCAGGTCGTTGAATTGGTTCATTATAAACCTGTGAAAGGATGATCATGGAGTTATGAATATATGAAAATCATATATGTGAACTGCGGGTTGAGGCATTAAATGAAAGATGATCATCGCAGTTATAGACGCAACTTTTTGCACTTGCGAAAAGAAAGCCTGAAAAAAATTGTGGCTAACACTTTTGTTAGTTTCTTTAACAAACTACCAGAAAGCCAAACCGAAACTTCGTTTTATAGTTTATTTTAAAAGTTCACTCTAAAATGGGCTGTTTTTAGTAGCAACGGCTGCTCTCAGTAGTTCTATTCAGTATGATTTCCATCTTTTAGGAAAGCCACTAACTGTACCATCGAAAAGAAAAAAATATCAAGAAAATGCCTCGGTAGATTGATAGAGATTTCGTAAAAATTATGAGAGGAACGACAAGGTCAAATATAAAGGTAAAGCGTCCTTCTTTTACCTTCGTAGCTCGAAATCATAATCTTCTAACTAACAAACTTGAAAAATATGCGCCGTCATAGAACACTCACTGATACGAGCAATTTTCTTCGAAAGTTTTGTTTCGTTTTAAACTAATCGTACAGCTTCTCTAGGTTCCATCGGAATGGAACGAATTCCTGTATTTTAGCAATCATATACGACGGGTAATAGAGAAAAGCTAGAAGTAGCTTTAACACTCTTCACATTTGAACACTTATCACGTTACGCCCGCCTTTTAATGTCGATAACGCGAGTATCGAAGGATGGAAGGAATAAACACAGGGAAAAGTTCGTTAGATAAGTCGGTTTTTGTGACACGAAGAATCCTCGAAATTGGCCCATTTTTTGAAAACAAAATTTCACTTTGTAGATAATCATGGAATGACTGCCATAGATTTAGCCAAGTCTAAAAGCGGAGCTCTTTTTTACATTCTAAGCCATTAGTTGGAATCAATATACTTAAAAACAGCATGGCTCAGTCAATCACTAACTATGTCCACTCCCCCCCCCACCCCCCTTCACCACAAAGGCATTTCATATTACTCATCATTAATAAAAGTGGCCTGGGAATGGTAGCTTCCTATGCAGATGTCCTTAGTTTGGCTACCTTTTAAGGAATGCAATATGTTCGGCTTGTCTCATCATTCCCGTTCTCATCATGATCATCTGAAACACACTACGATCGATAATCCATAGCTTGGCACTGTCCATGGCTACAGAAAAGAAATAGAAGAAACATTACAAATACGGTCGAACCTCCAATAAGCGACTACCCAAAATGCGTATATAGTTAGTGGTCGCTTACGGGAGGAGGGCATTTGCTCGGCTGTTTTCTGAGGCTAAATTATCTGTAGTTTCATATTCTTACTAAACGTCCTTCGCATACTCTGAGTAGCCTAGTTCACACCCTGAGCATAGAGATTGCACCTTGAATCAAGCGGTCGCTTAAAAGCAATGGAAACAAAGAAATCATCAGCCCAAAAAGTGATCGAGGTTGCTAACGAGAGGTGGACGTTGATAAAAGGTTCTAACTAGAGGCTTTGGGAAAATTTCAGCGTTCTGGATCGGTGATCGTTCATAGGAGATGGACGCTTATGAGGCCACCAGCAACTGCTTTCTAAGATTGTTCTCCAATACCCTTTTAAAGTCAGTCAGACCTAGCCACTAGCAAGTATCCTCTAGGACGCTTACGAGAGGTGGTCGTTGGCGAAAGATTCTAACAAGAGGCTTTGGAAAAATTTCAGTGTTCTGGATCGGTGATCGGTCATGGGAGATGGACGCTTACGAGAGGTGGTCGTTGACTAGAGGCTTTGGGAAAATTTCAGTGTTCTGGATCGGTGATCGGTCATGGGAGATGGACGCTTACGAGAGGTGGTCGTTGACTAGAGGCTTTGGGAAAATTTCAGTGTTCTGGATCGGTGATGGTCGTTGAAGAAAGGTTCTAACTGGGTTCTAACTATAGAGGCTTTCTGGACCTCATAGTGGAGCTTGCTCTGTGAGTGATCCAGGCCTCTTGGCGAACTTTATAAATAAATAAATAACATTTCAGTGTTTTGGATCGGTGATCGGTCATGGGAGATGGTCCCTTACGAGAGGTGGTTGCACATGGAGGTTCGACTGTTATTTTACATATTTAACTCTTGCTAGGCCAAAATATTATATTCACTGGAAATGACTAACTCCTAAATTGCCTTGAACAACAGTGAGAAATTTCACAGTCAAATGAGTGAGTTTGTTCACATGCGTCCCGGCCACTCAGTTTGGGTTGAACGGACGAAATTCTTTGTTCAAATTTACCGCAGCACCGCATCATCTTTTCAAACTAACCCCTTTTTTCATGACAGCTGTCATCGTGAAAGGATTTGTCTGCCCATCAAAAACTGTGCCTGTTCCCGGGCGTGGGCATAGTTCACATAGCAGATGAGCCCCGAGGCTGTTCTGGGCAAATCAGTTGAGCTTACATGCACATGAATTAATAAAATATGACTAAAGTCAGAAGCAATACAAATGGCTAATACGGATGGCAAATACCTTTGACAGTTGCAGTTCGTTTACAGTTGTACAAAATGGCCAACTCCCCAAACACAGTTCCTCCGTTCATTTCACCTAAAACCTCTTTATCTTTTGTGACTTCAAGACGGCCCTCTAAAAAGAATACTAATCACGTCAATATTCTAAACCGAACCAATATCACAGGTTTCCCTGTTCTTGGGGCCCTATTATTATTCATTCCGTTTCTGATTGGCTGAAAGCCCCCAGCTAATTTATAAATAACCAACCGGAGCTGACCAAATTTGGACGAAGATGCGAACAATGTACCATCAACTCAATGGTATATTAACATGTAAATGAGGTTGAACGATGGTATATTTGCCTGGAGCCGAGGCTGTATGGGCAATAGACCATCGATCAAAAAATGGTGTTCACAGCTATCCGAAAACGAAGAAGATGAATTTCTCACTTAAGCTGAACGGAAGAGATGCAAGAATAAGCAAAACATATGGCTCGATGGATGTTATCTACTTTTTGAGTATCTGCAAGAAAAAAGGTGTGTTTATATCCTGAAACCGCTTCGTAGAAAGTCTAAGAGGAGTTAAGCTTTTGAGAACTTAGAAATATTTTGAACGAATAATAAAACAATTATTGAATTAGGCTTTCGTATGATGTGATTATCCGTCCACCACCGCCTTCGCCTCGGTGGATAACAGTCTCCTAGATCTGCATAATTCTTCACATCCTACTCAACCGATCATTCAATACTGAATTGCTAACTATACATAGAAGGTTTTTCCGGGCGACAAAAGGAGCCCGCAGTCCTAATCTCCTCTCTTTCTCATTGCTTCTCCTCAAATGATGTCATTCAGAGTGAAAACAGGTAATAAACGAAATTTAAGTTTTATTACAATGAGCTTGGATCCTGAATGACTTGTCCAACTGTGTGATTTCAGTGTTCCACCATTATCGCCCAGTCAACTGTTGTGACTTGAAAATGTGAAATTCTACATACTATTTAATTTCACTGTGTTTTCGCCGACGTTACGACGGTTTAACGTGTAAATACAGTGCTGTGGGGACATGTACCAGTGAAAGTTAAAGTCGTTGAAAATATTGTCGCCGAAAATATACTATGTAACTCAAGCATGATGTCGTGTTAACAACGTTTCAGAGCGTTGGAAATCCATAAATTTTAAGAAAAATCTAGTGTAAAAACCATAATAAATCAGGATAAAACGTTATTACTTATTAAAAATCTTTTAGCAAGATATAGGACTCAGATGGATCTTACCTGCAATAACATACAACGCGTGGCCAATGTCTCCTTCTTGGACAATAATTTCGGACTTGTTATAAGTCTTGGGATACATACAGTCAACTACCTCACGCACTTGGGCCGACTCCAAGTTTTTGAGAAAGTCATTCTCGTTGATGGCATCCTTTATGAGCTGCTTAGATCTACGAAACAAACGAACAAAATTCAGAAATTTGTCGAAGGGGTTTTTTACTTCTTCCGACCTTCTTTATGCGACGTGGAATAACTGTTAAGTATACTGATAGAGGCAGTCAAACAATACAGAGAGTTTTCCAAGGGGCGTACCCAATGCTATTTGCAAGGTGGGTTCCAATTCGTCTACTATTTAACTTTTCCGCATTAACTGCTCCAAATTTCGTGTCGCACGTTACACAATAACGCAGTGAATCTCTTGTTATTATTGACATGAGGAGTTCATATACTATATACACCTGTGTATACTGAAGTATCGGGAAAAGTGTAAGCGAGTGCAAGGAAAACAGCATTACATTGAGGAGAGTATGAATTCAGATTAAGTCTTCTTGCTTTTTTATATTGTCCAATAGCTTTGTGTCTCCTCTGTTTTTCTTGCACTCAAGTGCAAATATTGTAATTTTATTTTTAAGCACCGGCAGAATAATACAATAAAACCGCCAGACACACATAAAAGAGCTGGTGAAAAAATAATAATATGATATAATAATGAAATTCATATGGGTAACTACAAGCGAAAGTATGGGAAGAGTTCGTTGTCTATTTTTTTTGTGTCAGTTTAGCTTCTGAAAGAGTGTAGTTCGGTATTACGAGGTTGACTGGCATTTTAGTCGAAGCACATAACTGAGATAATCGAAATTACGGAAAGGAACCTTTTAACAAATTACGCTGTATTTAACAAAAAAAACACGTTGTTAAATGGAGATGGTAATCACAGACTATTTAATACAGCCTATATCTCTGTTTAGGTTACTTAATTGGCAAATTCCGCGTTTATTAGCGATTTTACGGCCGTGAAATACGACGACTGTTTGTATTTTTTTTCCTTTTTTTTCTGTTTTGTCTCATAAGGTCTCATAAATTTTCAGTGACTCGACAATGCATACTTGAGGTGATTATTCAAAAGGTCATATGCCTTATTGTTTGAATGAAAGCGTCAATATCAAAATAAACTCGATCTCACTCGACAACGACCCAAAACATCCGAAAGGAAGTGCTGCTGTTTCAGAACCAAAACTTCCAGTACATAAATTCACCACCACTGAACGTCAAGCGTTGATGACAACCCCCAAATAAATAAACATTTTTTTGCGACTTGCCTTTTCAAACTGTCTCTATATCTGAATTATTTTTTTCAGCATTGTTCACATAAATTATACTCAGATGTACTTTATATCACATTAAGTACATAGTTTGGTAGCTAAGGCAGCTAAAAGAGTAATGGAACACTGAGACCTTGTAGGTTTATTAAATTGCTAGAAAGTTATGGAGACGGAATAGGTCATTCTATATTTACTGCTAAAAATTCAAAATGACCAATTCACGGCCAACAACCAAGAACCAAAGGGGACAGGATTTTAAAAAAAATAATTGGTTATTGCAAAACGGAGCGAATTAACCTGACAAGCAGCTTTTTAACATTTCGAATGGATTTTAGATAGCACTCTTCACGAGACTTAAGGAATAATTTTCATTCACTTAACTGATAATCAAACAGTTTTATCGTGAGCTTTGATATCACTATTCCTGGTAGGACATTATTTCTCATTCAATTTCAGGTACAAAGAAGTGAGAAAAACAAATATTCTAAACAAATAAATTACTCCGGACGATTAATAACTTTCAGTGCACTGACAATCTGTTGAATGAAAATATTCATAAACTGTACTAGCATACCTGAAGTCTTTTGGGTGGCGGTCCAGTTCCTTTTTTGTGTCCTCTTGCACTTTCGAACTGCTCTCCCCGCTGACAGCCATTCGTTTTTCCTTTCTGCTCGTTCTCCCTTTGGCTTGTCTGGGCGCCCCATCCTCTTGAATGGTAGACAAAACATTAGCCTTGGAAGCAGTTTGTTGCACTACGCATTTCAACTCGTGAATTTCTTTCCTCAGTTTGGCCAACTCGGCGTCTTTTTCTTCAATAATACGCTGCCGATGCTGTAATTCGGCGTCTTTTCGCTGCAGAAAATCATCTTTCTCCTTCAGTTCGCGTTTGAGTTGAGTTGTGCTAACCTTTAAGCTCGCCTGGTGTTGCAGTTTACCGTTTTGCTCGCTGTTCTGATATGAATTGTTCAAACTCGCTCCGCTCCCCATTATTGAACGTGCAATTCCTTCACCGATCTGTCCGTTCGACCCGAAGAATCTCCCCGACCGAATTGTCGGTGCGTTTGAGCTCGCCTTTCGGCTTCATCTTGTAACCTCTTCGATCCTGTGCACCAATAAATTCCTTCTTGTTGTCATGTAAATACAGAATTCACGTAAGTGAAAAGCAGATTGACAGACGCAAAAGAAATCAGTACTTATCTCCTGATTAATAATAATATAAACTGTTATTCAAACTGATTTATTATACTTGTCTAGCCAATTACAGGTTATATGAATAGCGTTTTTTTACCATTAGTTGCAAAGATCATCGAAATTGTCGGACTGACAAACAAACGCTCGAATCTCGATTTGACAGCATTATTACCTTAAGACGACAAAAAAAGCGAAATTAACGCCCCCTTTTCCCAGATCACGCGCTCCTATTTTCGCGTGCCTTTCACTTACGCGCCATGCCCACTATCTGAGAGTCAGCTGCAACAGGCTAGTTAAGACCAAACTTTGTTCATGTGAACCTGAGAAAACTGTTTTCTGAGGTTATGTGCATGTTTGTTAGTAAGAGTTAATCTACAGAAGGCGAGTAAGCTGGACTAAAATGAGCAAACACTGCTTCCTCCGCAGGAAGAGTGGGGAAATGTTTTAAGACATATCTTTTTAAGAAGCTAATTTTAACAAACATATTTATTAGACAGTAATAGGTAGATAGTAATTTCGATTACCTTATCACTCTTTTAACTGTATAGAACTTCCTATGTAATTTTAGGTCTTAACCATTTAAGTCATATAGTCTATATGCGCGTGTGTAAACATCATTGACTGTATTTTTATTTCATTTTTTACTAATTTTAAACTTTTACATAGTGTTTTATTTTAGAAATTGAATATTAAGTGCATTTAAAAACTTTGAGTTGAATTTTCGCCGTAGAAGTAAACAAAATGTTATTTATTATAAATAAATGGATTTAACTAAAATATCAGAAAAATAAGCGATCGCCAGCGACTAGGGCATGGCAGGAACTTACAAACATACCGATTTTAAAACAAATTATTATTCATTTAAAATATTTCGCCGTCTCTGATTGGCTTCAATTCTCCGGAGAAATTTTCCTTACTTAATAAAAGTGAATTAACCAACAGCAACAAAAACAACTAGCCCAATGATCGAACCCACATTGGACGGTAGCCCACTCAGTGGCTGACCCGACCAGCCGATCAGCATAGAATTTAGACTTGCTACAAGTCGACCTCTCATTAGTTCTTAAAAGTGAGCGAAGCGACATTCAATCCATGAGGATCGAGCGCCGACGAAGTCTCGAGGTGAAATAGAAATCACTCTCCTATTGGTCAATTGTCATGACGTCACCAGTGAATTTCGCGCCAAACAGGTATGAAAAGTCCACCCAGGAAAGAAAGACTTTTAGAAAGTCTACATAGAATCCATAGCAACGCCATATCTCTCTATATTAGTATCCTTTTTTCCCCTGGAGTGGGGTCAGTTTTACCTCTGTGGTGATTTAATACTTGATCAGTTTAAGCAATGGATTCAGAATGAAAGGATTATTGTGAAAATACCAAAATTTTGGTAATGTGCGCCGCTTGTGTCACAGTCAAGCACAAAAACAGCCGTTAATGTTTTAATTGACTACACATGTTGCACTTCCAAAGTGAAAGCTTCCCTTTCTTGAAATAAAGCCACGGTAGAAACCAAATCGCGGAAAACAAAGTCCAACAAACCTTTCACAGTCCAACAAACCGGTAACCGGGAAAAAAACTTCTTCTCTTAAATGACTGAAATTTATAATAAGCGAGCAAGGGAGATCAGGATCAGAAATAAGATTAGTTTCAATATTATAACTAGAAATTTACTGACGCGGTTTGACTTACTTCAGTGTTATATTTTTGGTCGATTAAAAGACCTTATTTAGTTATATCAAAATAATGCTTTTGTCCATGTTAATGCAAGACAGCTCTAACTTGATTTTAGACTGATCTTCGAGATCATCAGAAGTGAATTTGAGCGATTACGGAGTGACAAACAGGCAACTTTTTTCAATGAAAGCGTTTATTGTCAAACTCATTACACATTAATGTAACTTACTCTTCGGAGTAACAAAATAAAATATCAATTAAAATTTATTACAATTTAGAAATCATTAGAGGCAAAGACATTCACTTCAAGCGATTTGGACACAAAAAAAGCCCTTCATAAAATCAACCCTGGTAGGGTAACAATGGGGGCTAGCTTAGTTTCATGTGCCATTTTCCATACGAAAAATAAGATTCTCGGAGAATTGAAAACCACTAGGACGATTATATCCTGAGCAGTCACAAAAGGCGCAACTTTTCCTGTTGCTTACGGAAAACAGATTAATCTGATCTAAGGAGTCGATTCCGGCATTAGATCAAGCAAACGGTGGGCGCTATAGACCCAATATTAACACGAGGGGGTAAGGGGCATCCTCTCCCAGCCGTTTTCATGATGCATAACCTGTTTTTTTTTATAAAACCAAAAATGTGTACACCTTGCCTATTTGGTGCCTTTGGGCACTTCTTTCTATAACACTATTTCTAAAAGCTTATTTGAAGGCCTAAAAGAAGAAGTTAGCTAAATTATTTCTGGGTTTTAACTTCTCCCGTGAACATTCCGTCGCAAATAAATAAAGTCGCCCCCATGGGTCCTCAAGGAAAGGCCTTTTCAACCTCGTTCCCACGGTCCCAGCCTCCTCCTCGTCGTTCCCTTGAGCATTCTCTCTGTGCGATGCCAAGTTGTGTCGCTACAATTTTATCAAAGTACAAAACTAGGATCGCGGACGATTTACGTATTATTTTATTCCAAAAGTGAATTAAGCTGAATAAAATTTTTTATCCTTGCCTGTGCGTCATATATTCGTGCAAGGAATTAATTAAGCTGAACTCTTATTGCGAATCGACTTTTCATCGACTTGGCCTCGGCGTTCAGAATTGTTCAGAAACAACTTAACCGACGTGTAGCGAAACGGTTTGGTATCAAAATAAAAAGGTTTCATATCAGTAGTATCCTGTCTGATTAAGACCTGTTTCGCTTCGTTCTCCGTCTTACTGAGCTCACTTAACATGCAAGGCCTACAGGTCTAAAAGTATTCAATACGAGTTTTGGAGCTTTCCTAAAAATAGTCTTATTATATACAGTAAAACTCCGTACCAAAGAAACTGCAGATGTAGAATCTCCAGGCTGACATTTGGCCAAATAAACAGCATGTATCAAGGAACCAAACTCAAAATTCTGCCATAGAATCATTTTAAGCCGTTTGCAGAAATAAAAGCGGCAGTTATGTGCGTGTTTTCACTGTATTACAAGTCCACAAGCTGAACTACGAGAAATTGTGCATTGAAGACTAATATTAGGAGTCAATTTTAATGTGCTTGTACTCATCTTCGCCATCTGATTCAGTGTATCGTCCATTCACCATGCAGTTCAAAAGGGGACCAATCTGTTAAATCAAATAGATACGATCACTTTAGTCGCAAATACAACTAGGCTAAACTTAAATAATACACATACGAGTAGTAAAAAACAAGATTTAATCCATTCGCCCATGGAAATTTTCCCGAAAAATGCTTTTTGAAGCGACTCTTGCCGAGACGTTTTCTGGTCACTATTTGGCCAAAAAGAAACAGAAATGCCGAAAACGAAGAGCGGGGTTTAGAAGCGACACTAACGGTATGGGGAGAGGTTCCACGAAGAACCTATTTGAGACGAAGCAAATGAACGGGTAGGTAGTTGAACAAGATTTTCGTTGGACCTTTTTTGGTTATCTTGGATGTTTTTTTTATTCCTCGTGTTTTGTTGTTTTTTCTTTGCGTTTTTCTCCAGCCTGTTCAATTGTTCTTATTTGGGTATATGGTTCGAAAGATCTCTTTCCCCTCCGCAAAATAGATGTCAAATTTGTCAATAACCATTAAAACTGATGACGTCACAAGTGGTAAATGGGATGAAGATCTGCACGGGCGGTTTTCGGACATTTCAAGGAAACATGTAAATTGACCATTCGAGAAAATACCATAACACACCATGATACTCTTTGTTGGTTACTCCAAAATTTCGCATAAGCATTGTTTTCAGTTTCTTTTGCAGCCATTTAATTCCAAGAGAAACTGAAGACAATGCTTATAAAAAATTTTGGAGTGACTAACAAAGAGTATAATGGTATGTTATGGTATTTTCTGGAGTGGTCAATGGGTTAAATCCCAACGAGCGACAGATGGCCAACTGTCATCATGTTGTCCACTCGACCAATAGACCTTTTTACCGATACGGCGGCCATATTGAATTCATTCAATTTAAGGAGTATTAGAGGATGCCCAGGGGGCATAAGCACATTTCGTTGGTATTTTCGAGCGCTTTTCGGGACATTTTTTCTTAAAGTTTTCTTAGAATAAGATTGTAATGGGAAAAAAGATCTTTGTGCCGTGTTTGGATGTAATAATGATCGCCTTTTTCTAGTTTAGTATTAGAATATGGTCTTTCACTGTATATTTCTCGGGAAAAAGGCGATCATTATTACATCCAAACACGGCACAAGGATCTTGTTTCCCATTACAATCTTATTCTTAGAAAACATTAAGAAAAAATGTCCCGAAAAGCCCTCGAAAATACAAACGAAATGTGCTTATGCCCCCTGGGCATCCTATAATACTCCTTAAATCGAATGAATTCAATATGGCCGCCGTATCAGTAAAAAGGTCTATTGTAGTCATTTGAATATCTTCAAGAAGAGAGCATTTTCACACTCGACCCCCACCCCCACCCCCACCCCCCTTTCAACGCAACCCGCCCACTAGGGAAGCTGTTGATCCGGGAGTTGTTCTTTACAGTGTTTGTCAAAATCTGAGTGATGTCCCTTTGCTCCTTTGATGCTTTCATTTCCTTGTTTATATTCAGCCTGAAAAAGCATAAAACACACCCTTCCAAAAAATGGAATTGCACCCATCAGGCTTTCCAATATTCTGATTCCAAAATTTACCTCGCAGTGATGGCCTAGTGCTTCTCCCAACATTCGTTCAATGTTCCTCATGACTGCTACCTTCTGTTGTGCCGTCAGGGGGTGGATGATTTGGCTTGGAGTGGGGCCAGCCTGTAACAAGAGAATATCCATTCTCCATTCAGTGTTATGAACAAAACACAAGATAAAATATAAGCAGGAGAAATGTATGGGTATTTATCGTACGATCTGTATATATAAAAGTCGATAAATACTAATTTATTTAGCTGAGTGAGATTTCGAATCAAAAGTTAATTTTACTCTTCGATTAATTAATCAACCCAGTTGATTTTTACTGTGCTTTCAGAAAGTACACCACTGTACAACACTACCTAATGATTTGTAAAAACTTAAAACTGAATAAAGAGTACAATGTTTCCTGACATTTCATGCTCAGTCCTTAATCAGTGGAAATCAAGTTATGTTTTAGAGTAGTGAATTCAATAGGTAAAAAGTTATTCCATATCGAAGATCAAGTGCAGGTTATTGCACTGCCGGGGCACATTATTGTTATATGTCACCAATGGATAGAATCCTGTCAAATTTGGAACAACTGAAATCTAGAGAATTTTGTTTGATGATTATGATTATGATTATGATTATACAAACCTTGTACCAGAAGTTCACAGATGTTGTTATTCCTCCATTCATTGTTGATTCCACGTGGTGCCACCTAGAGTGAAAAATCAAATCATCATTTTGTATTTTTGTGCATTGGTATATAGACAGATTTAGCAAAGACAACTCATCGGCACTAATGATGGCAAATTGAGCACTGGGAGACACTTCAGACCTTTTTCACACTTTCAGAAATTCACAAACAATCTCCTTTGACGTTACATTGCCTTTGCTACGTGCAAGTCCGATGAAACTTAACACAACATGATGAACATGATTTAACACCCTTGGAAGCTCAGGGTCGTTTAACAAGATTTCCTAAAAAAAGCTCATTGGTGTATAAATTGAATTGTTTTGGCCATCTCATTAAAAAGAAAAATATACTGGCTGGAAACTTGTTTTAAGAAAATTTACATGCACTCTGATTAACAGCATGGATACCTCCTTTATAGAGCTAGATGGCAAACCCGTCAGTTTTTTTCTCAAAATCTGTTTAGCGTGGCATAAAAGTCTCATGCGCGCCTCGCCCGTGCGCCTCCGTTTTCAGCCTCGCTCCAGTCCTTTTGTCTGACTGTTCACGCGTACTCGAATATGCAAAAATACAGACTATTTTGCAGTCTATCATAGAGCACTCTTGTTTACCAGTCAAAGTGTAGTAACCACATGTACTAAATGCTTGAATAATTGAATGATTACCACCTAGTTTCAATATAACTCATACGTTGATAAGGAAATGGGCCATGACAGAGTTGGGTGTTGAAAACAATCAGCCTAGCAACAAATTTTAGAGGCCAGAGGATTCCGAAAACCATCTGAAGTGAAAGTACATGTCTGCACCAATTGTACACAGGTAAACATGCACTGAAACGATATGCTTTCAGTTTTCCTGTCTAATCTTATTAATAGCTTTTGTTGATTTGCAACTTTTAAGACACTTTGGTAAGTGACCGCTTAATAGAGAGCGACCACTTAATACAGGTTTGACTGTAAAGGAGTGAGTTTGTAAAGTAACTGTGGTGTGGCATAACTGGGGGAGTAAAACAAAAAAAATTGGTTTCATCAACTGAGTTGTCCACTGACGTCTGCTCTTCCTCTGTTGAAAAGCTAGCCCTCAAAATGTCATTTGACTGGATTCTTTTTGCAATGTACAGTCTGAGTAGTCAGACCAGTATTAAAAAGGAAACATAGTACTATACTGCATGCCTCACCAATACATTGGTAGGTAAAGAACGTCTCCTGGCCCGACTATTGCTTGAAATCCTTTCACCTCTTTGAACTTGGGAAACCTTGCATAGTCTGGGTTATCAAAATCAACCTTTTGAATTGAAATGTGATGCAACTTTGTTAAAAACAGTATAGCAAATATAAAAGAACTACATGTATGACAGTGTATTACATTTCATGGGAGGTGGGGGATGGAATCTTGCTTGCTGGACATAGACATCAGTATGACCAGTGATTTTGTTTTCGAATCCTTAGTCTGCGTCCTGCGTCCCTGACGCAAGAAAATCCCCAAAGATGCAAAATAATAATTCATGGCATGCATCCCGTAGGACACAAAGATTGATCAATTGATTTGAACATGTGTATTTGTAGAAATATCCTGTTCGTGTAATTTTTGTGGCAGTCATTGTGGCTGCTGTTTAACGATGCATTATTATTTCTTTTTGCCTTTGATGTGCTTTAAGATAAAAGGACTTTATTTTAATTTCAGTAGACTTAAATAAAGAGAGTTGGAGTCTGTCTTCAGATTAACTGTCTGGTTACATAAAGGTCGAAGCATTTTCAATTTTGGACTCAATTTTTTTTCTTTTTTTTTAACTGGCACTCATTGCTTCTGAACTGGGAGTCATAATAAAATTATTTTCCACAAGATCAGTCCTAGGACTCACCATAACTATTAATTTTGTAACAAAATCACTGTATGACCCTCTTCTTTATCTGTTGTAGAACAAAGCTTGTATCTTTTAAAAAGAAACCTCAATTGAGTGAGCTTTAGCAAAGTGCTAATGCTGTCCACTTACACTGTACACTGTTCTGTAACCCTTAAAAGCCCCATTTGCATCCACATACAGCTGTACATATTCGAAGGAATTTGACAAAGATCAAAGCATTTTCCATGGAGATCACCATTCTCATAACCTTTTCTCTTCACAGTTGTTGATTACAGTGTATGTACAGCTTTTTCAGAGTCAAATAGATTCCACACTTCAAGCTCCTTCAAGCTATATTATCTTCCCCCCTAGTTTTCTTTGCTTAGAGAGGGGCTGAAGAATACACTTGCCATACCCCATTTAAGGCATGGTTGCTTAAACAGCTTAAATAAGAAAATAATGAATTGTCCTGATATAGAAAGCTTCTTGGCATTTGAGACTTCAATGTGTTTCTCAGCAGTTTTTACAATCTTTTGATGTCAAAATGAACTTATTTTGTTGTAGTCTCCAACATTCAAGGCATTTTAACAAAATTGAAGCACTGCTTCTACAAATTCAAGGAGTTTTCAAGGATCTACATGTAGCAGTTTTTCAAGTAGTCCAGGCCCATGCAAAACATGCTTTATGTTATCATTGTACACATAGTGTATTCACGTAGATAGTATGACTTTTGAAAGAAACAGTACTCAGGTAACTGCCCCGTAACATCATACGCTTTTTTTTTTTCAAAACAACATCACATGGTTTACAATGGGAAAACAAAACAAGTCATACAAGCTAGGAGGATTTATTGTGCAAAATCGTACTACCATATAATATCAAAAGACCTGCCAACCTTACCTGACTTTGCCTATCACACGGATGGTACAATGGAAATGGATAAAGACATTTGAACTGATCAGGATGAAACAAAATTATTCTCTTGTACCCTGACACCTGACAAAAAAAGTTCTGCTGTTCATCGTAATGAACTGGAGTGATATTTCCAGGTAAGCCAATGAGAAGGAGATTTGAAGTAAGTGTTCCCCATTTCATTTTCCTCTGTATTGCTGTCAGCCAGTTCCACTTAAAGCCAAGGAAGTCTTTAACTATATTTTTTCCTACAGAGTCATTGAGCATTTGTTGCAGGTATATTCTGGTGTCAGAAGATCTAAAGTTAGCAATTCTTTCAAAAAACTCCTCAAATTTCATCTCATGTCTTTCTGTAGGTGGTACAAAGTTGGGCCAATCCTTGGCTCTTTTGTCGTCAAAATACATGAACTTAGAAGTCTTTGAGCTGTAGACTGAAAAATTCCCTGGACCAATGTTTTCCCTGAGATAGTTTAAGTCCCATTTAAGAGCAGTTGCAATAATGTCAGAATTTGTTAACACAACGGGTTCCTAAGAAAAAGTGGAAAGCATAAAATTAGAAAAATTGTTTTTACTAGTCTTATAGCACAATATTAAATGTAGGATAAATTTTATCCTACATGTACCAAAACAATAAATTGTGAGTCTCATGGACCCAGTTTCTCAAAGACCGATCCATTTTGAGTCTCTAAACAAAAGGTGACTAACATTATATCAGCTTCAGTTGATGCTTTTAGGAGAGAATTTTCTGCTTGAAAATTTAATTCAATCCAAGGTTAAAGTTAGCATCCAAAACCTGCTGACTGTCACAGCTGTCTACTTCATTGTTAATACAGCCAATTTGCTACTTGCTATTCAACTTCATATATTTAATATTGAACCAATTATTATGTCTCCCAACTGAAAGCAATTTATATCAAACTGTTAAACAAAAAGAAATCAAAAACAAAAATGAACTGAACTGATTGTAGAGATAAGATATTATTATCGGAGTTTCCCATAATAAGTGAGATCGCTCCTGTTAATTTAGAAAAGACGAAGAAAAGTACTTGCAAGAGGAATGGGCACTGTTTTTGTTTAGATGGTTGATTTATCCGGAACATGGGGCTATTAAATAAATATAAGCTTAAGCTTACATTGTAGCCAACTTCCTTGTTTGACAGTTTATCAAAATTCATGCTACATCAGACCCGGAATTGTACTAAAGTGCACACTAACCTCATTTGCGATCATTGATTCCACTCGCGGATCATCATGGTTGAGCCTTGGGATATCTTCTAGCTGTAAATCATAGTTCCGTACTACGTGACCTTTAAAATCTATATACTGATGACTATCCGCGCCATTGACAGCAAGCACGTCCGCCGCAGAGACGACCGCAGAGGGCTCCGCAGAGGCCATTTTGAAATTTTGAGCCAGCAGTCTGTAAACTGTAAACAAGAAGCGTGAAATGATGCGCGGTCACGTCGAATTCAAGTGGAGCCCAGGACTTTTCAACGGTGATGTCACCAATTGATGAATAAAGTACCTCAAATTGCGTACTTTTTCTTTCGACATCAAGATTTGCTACAAGATTTATCATTTTACGCTTGGTTTTCATCATTAAATATTTACTACAAGACGCGCCTTGGATAGCTATTCGTCTAGTGCAAGAGCCTTATTGCCGACAAAAGCGAAGCAACTTGTAATTTTTGGGAGACATGAGAACTCAGTTCTTCCCAATCGTAACGTTTGTCCTGATCTCTTTGGTTTCACTTTGTGTAAACGTTAGTGCTAACCAAGGTAGGTTATACATTTTAATTTTCTTTTTACCTAATATAGTGCATTGGAAAGGGATTCCTTGCTGCATTTGGCTTTTATGTTACCTAGGCACCTAAGTGGTCATTGAAATCAGCTGGCAATATTTGCAGGCTTTTTTGTTGCTCTGAAAACTCGAGAAAGCGCAGCGCTCTAGCATGGTTGGGTATTTCACATGTTCACTGCGTTTCACTTAAGTATTTTTTTTTTTTTTTTTTTTGGGCAACATAAAAAAAGCGTTTGGATTTGATATTTACAAATTTGTTTTTTTTTTCCAATTGATTTCCCCTTGCCCTCTTTTTACATTTTATTTTTTATATCCATCCCCTGTTTTATTGTTTTTAGTTTTTTTTTTTTTCTTAAAACTTCTGAAATCTCTGCTCTTTTTGCATTTTTTGTTTTTTCTCTTTTTTCTTTGTTTTTCTTTAGTTTTTTTTTTTTTTTTTTTATGTGAATAATAAAACGACGGCTTGGAATCGAGATATCTCTATTATGTTTTTGTTGCCGACTGATTCCCCTTTGCCCTCTGTGTAACTCTAAACTTACATGTACAGCCCAGTATTACTAAGGTCTTGTAGTCAATTAACCTCTTCCAGTGTTATATCCTACCTTCTTGATTCAGAAGTGGAACAACAAGTGGCTTCATTTACCCCGAAATCATTTACTCACCAAAGATTGATCAGGCACTTTTGGCAGAGAATTATAGGTGGTAACGTAAAAACCACCCATAGCCAAATTTGTTGTATCACGCTGCGCATTTGCAAACTTTGAATGGGTTTTCCTGTTCTGTCAATCATTTGATCCAATGAGTCGGGGCAAAGTTAATGCAAATCACAATGCAACACACTCGCTCTGCCTGGCCTGCAAAAACAATACTGAGAATGACTCGAATAGCAACAGAAATCGTGATGATGAGTGGACTTTTTGTCAAGGGCAGGATGCAGACATTGCTTTATTCTTGCAAGAGACAAGAATAAGAAAGATCAGAAAAATCTTCGAAGAAAACTAGTCGATTATTGCCTGAAACAGGGCGATCAAAAGCAACGAACCTTGAAACACAGAAACAAAAAAGGGGATCGAAATGCATCAATGACAAGTAAACACATGTTTTCTAAGAGGCCTGCTAAGATGATTGACAGTACAGAAAAAACCGAAATTCCTTTGAAGTTTGGACAACGCGCAGCGTAATACAACGAATTTGGCTATAAGCCCACTCAAACACTTTATAACCTTACTGCACTTTTCAATAACACATGCAGGCCATCTGATATCACGCAATGGTACGATTTCGCACAATTGACCTCAAATCACTTCCGATCGCTCAATTTGAGGAAAATGGCATAATTCGTAAAAAAAATTTATACTGAATTCAAGTAAAGTAAACAATGAATTCTATTTCAATTAAACATTTGAACCCAATCTTAATGTTATTTAAGGTGATTTACCACTAAAGAAAGTCTTGCAAGACATCCAAAACCATCGATCGCAGTACCTGGGCAGCCATTTTGACTTCAGAGACAAGCAGTGTGGTCAGCAGTGTAATGGCATCATGTAATATTAAGCATGTGTCTTTTTTCTTTTCCGGGTCAAAATAATCGAACAAATTTAACTAATTTGTTTTATAATAGATGTTTTATTATTCCTTTACATTCAAATTGCCAGTTAAACAACATTAAAGTGGTTTTTCTGCTTTGAAACCTGGTGAGACGATGTAAGTTAGCCCTGAAAAAATCGGATAATTTATTGCATAATAGTCCTATCTTATCGTACAATCTACCCTGAAAATATCGCACAATTTCTGATTTTTTATCGCACCCTATCAGATGGTCTGCACATGAATTCTGCACTTTAAAAGCGAGCTTATAATTATTGTGTTTTTTGCTGATGCAAAAATTACTACAATCACAAGTAACGAACAACAAAACCACAAAATGTATAAAAATTCACCAATCACAAATTTTAAACCATGACCTTTTGAACTTGTTGATGTAAACCTCTGTTTTTTGAGATTTCTGTTAACCCATTCGCTCCTGGAGATTTTGCCGAAAAACGCGTTTTGAAGCTAGTCGAGTGGTTTTCAGGTCACTGTCGTGCTATAAAGAGCTAAAGCTTACCAGAAACCGGTTTACAGGTCGTACACTTCGTGGCCTTCTGATCCAGATGCAAAATATCAGCTTGCGAAGTTCGGGCATGCGCAGAAAGCAAAATTTCGAGATAGTTTTTGGGTTTAAAAGTGACACAGCAGTCTAGTCACGTGGTTTTTTGCTTGTTTCTCCGGTGTCCTTGACTAAATTGTGCTCATTCTGGTATGGTTTGAAAGATCTCTTCACTCTGCACAAGTTAGCGAAGAAAGTTGTCCTTGACCGTTAAAACTGATGACTTCACAATGGGTAGAAAGGACCTGGATCCGCACGGGCGGTTACGGGCGGTTCAGGGGCGAATGGGTTAATATGGTTGATGGTAGCAAAAGATGCAAATGTTAGTTGGCTTTTGACCTTCAGAGTGTGCATGTTTTTTTAAAAGAGCAGTAAGGATGGCATTGACGTTGGTCACTTTTGGGACTTTAATAAGGGATTAATAGTATGTCATCTTCTCATTTTTGTTTTATGTTTTGGCTGTTTTAATTCAGAGCTGTGTGAATTGCCACCTGTTACTGGCCCTTG